GGCAGCAGCACAGATTCCCCTTCCCTTCCCAGGGTTGGTGTTGTGAGGGGAACATGAGAAGAGGAATAGGAAGTATAAAGTCAGAAGAGTATCACGACCAAGCACCCCATTCTGATAAGACCCCAAATTTCATACCTCTGCTTCATCCTGCCCCCGAAGCTCCAGTGGATTTGTGAGCATAGAGCTGTTGTCCACCTTAGCTCAGTTTAGCTTCATTTAGCCTTGTAAACACACACAGGCAGGGACAAGGGACCTTTAGGTGTCACTTGGCTTAGGTGCTGCCTGAAGAGCTGCGGCCCTGGCCTGGTGGCATAGCATGCAGCTTTGCAGCCTGCCAGCAACCACACAGCTCAGCAACGGCTGCAGCATCACACTGCCAGCCAGATCCTTGTCCCAGACTGTCTTGCTTTCACTCCTAGTCCTTCACTCCCGCTTCTACCGGCAGCACTTACCCACTGCGCAGCCGGAAAGCAAACGGAGAAGAAACAGAACAAGAACAGATTCCCTCCTGTAAAAGATTCGGCCTCTCCCCGGCCAAAGCTCTCGCTGCACATCGGGGCCGGGGCTGCTGCACAGACGGTGTCCTCCCCGCCGCAGCGGTCAAAAACAAACAGGAGCCCGCAGCGCCGGAGCGCCGCACACGCATTAAGCACCCACCGCGAGCCCCCCGCCCCCCGCTTGGTGCTGGAGGGGACGGAGCCCGGCCGCCCACGCCGCTGCGCACCGGAGCCGGGAGCTCGGGATCACCGCGAGAGAGCTCCGGGGGCACGGAGCCGCCGGGCGAAGCGCGCAGCTCACCTGAGTGTCAATCATCATCATGCCCCGCGCATAGCCCCGCCGCGGGGGAGAGCCACCGGGCCCCGCTCCGGGGTCCCGCGGGGCCAGGTCACCGCCGCACCGCGCTGGCCATGGAGCTCCGCCGCCCCCGGGAGCCTCCAGCGCCAGCGCCGAGCGCGGCCGGGAGCGCCGAGGGCAGGGCGGGGCGGGACGGCGAGGCCGGGGGCGGGGCCAGACTCGGGGCCCGCGGGCGCTGCGGGGCGGAGAACGCGTCCCCGTGCGCGGAAAGGGGGCGCGGGGAGAAGCTGCGGGAGGTTCCGGAGCGGGGTTGCCCTGGAGCGGAGGGGCTGAGAGCGACGGCTCCGCGCTCTCGGCGCTCTGCCTCTGCAGCGATGTCAAGAGAAGCAGGAGCCGAGAGGAGGCCGCGTCACTCTTCGTGGCGACTGCATGCAGCCGGTGCGATGCTCCCGGTCCGCGGGGCACCGACGGGTGCGCCGTAGCGTTGGATCTTGCTGAAGGGCAGCACCGTGTGGTTAGAATAACGGTGTCAGTGCTGGACAGTGGGAAAATACATACTTCAAAAGGTCTCGCTACGGTGAAAGAAACTGAAAACAAAACCAGCAAAACAAAACCCCAGAATTAAGCACTTTTAAAAATTTCTTATCAGACTTCCTTTAAATTAACTAAAGGTTCGGCAGGGGCTGGGGAATGAGGAGGGCATACAAGCAGCAGAGACTTTTGGTTAAATCTGTCTGGCTATTCCCATGACTTTATACTGGTTTTACATGAAATTAAATCTAGCCCAAGACAAGCATTACTCTTGTGCTTAGAGAAAGAAGGGAGATAGGTGTGTAGGCAGACATCTACTCCCATGTGTTTTGCTGGGAGTGCTTTCCTGGATGATTTGATTTTATGGACCTACATGTGGAGCAGAGCTGCAGGATGGGGGATTTGGTATGAGTAATGTGCAACTGCTCCTGTAAACTCCTTCTTCAGTTCTTGCCGTCCCTGGAAGTGCTGTCGCTGCCATAGTGCCTCCACATGCAGAGCAGTCCTTACTCTCTGTGTGGTTCACATCTGGGGATCCCAGATACTTGCTGGGGCAGTGAGGCAAGGCACAGCAGGGGCAATTCAAGTGAGAAAATAGTAACCCTGGTGCTTAGAGCTGCCCTTTGAGATTAAAGCAAACCCCCACTGAGAAAGAAACTCATTCTGTGCATCTCATTCACTAGTGAGCAACCAAGACTAGTCCCTGTGCAGACACAGAGAGACAAAGCCACAGGCTAAACAGGTTAAGACAAAGGGCAGGATAGTAAAACCAGCCATTCTGGCAGAGAGCTCACAGCCTTCCAGATCCTTCCCACCACCATGGCGCTTTACCTGCATTAACCCAGCCAGACACACATTCCCCATGCTGGTTTAATTCAGGGAATGTGCAACTGATGTTCTTATCCTTCCTCATCCATGTCTGCTCCAGGACAATCTCATCTCCATGATACTGGCCACAGATCTCTCACAGAGGTTTGATGAGGCCAGTCCTTTCATAACTACCCTTTTATACCATATCAAAGTGGTTCAAAATAATATTTCTGGTCAGTAATGTCAGGCAACACAACACATGGGAGGGTTAAGGGAAAACTGAATAGGAGCAGAAAAGGGTCCTGGTCTGGCTTAGGGGAGGTAATTCTTTTCCTGTCAGTGAGGAGAACAAGAGGATCATGGTCTGTCCTCACCTTGGATCATATTCAGTGCTGGAAGTTTCTGTTTCTGATCCCCTGAGAAGTTTTCCCTTTGGGGATGAATGCACTATGCAAATCACCAGCCAGGACAAGGAGAGAAAAAGCTTGTCAAAGGGGTTCTTAAACAGACAATGAATGATGAGTCTGTTCCAGCCAAGTAGAAAAGGATGGATGGATGGATGGATGGATGGATGGATGGATGATGGATGGATGATGGATGGATGAGTGGATGGAATAAGGGGCCATGGGGGAGGCAACAAGCTACTGATCTGAGGCTTGGATAAGGATAAACAGAGCTTGAGTTGGAAATGCCATGAAAGCAGTATAAATCGGCCAGTGATTTATTTACATGTGGTTACCCCCTTTTCATGCAGTACTACATGTGTGTTTCCAAGTCCAAATCTCTTTGACACAAGGACATGTAAGACAAGCATTGTCCCTTGTGGCAAATGGAGGAAAACCTCACATGCAAGAGTACGAGGCTGCTGCCTTACTACCACATGCCTCAGTTTCCCCACTGAGTAATGGATGTCAATGGGGGATTCAGATCAGAAAGTATGCCCTTGGGAAGCTCCCACCCTTGGGAAGGCCCACAAGCCTCAGGCTGCACAATGCAAATGAGAGAAGGAAAGCTTGCTGCTGGTGTTGGGGGAAGGGGATTAATCATCAGGAGATGAAAACAGAAGGCCAGGTTTTCATTAATTAGAGGAGGGCATGAGCTGATTCAGGGAGCATCTCCCACACTGCACTGGGGAGCGTGCTTCTGCAGTCACATTCTCCTGCTTCCTAGAGACAGAGTTTCTAGGTATTGCTTCAAAATGAAGCCCTGTTTGGCAGCACTGTGTCACCTAATATGTGACACAAGACCTTCCCCTGGGGAGAATGGCACTGCACAAGTCAGGCCGTTACCACAATGCCAACAGGGTCCTGGATTTGGCCAAAAGGTGGCTATGAAACAGAGCTGCAGACCAAGCCTCTCACTAAAGGTTTTCAGAGCAGGTACCCCAGAAACAGAGACCACGCTCTATCACACATGATTTGTGCTGGAGAACTCCCTCTCATGGTGGATTTAACACAGGCTGTGCATATCTGCACAGGAGTTCAGTATGACAGCACAAAGCCCAGTGCCTGCAAACACAGACCAGTTTAGAGGAGAGTTAAGGCATAAGGGAAGCTAGGCATTGGCAGAGCTGATCTATGGATGTGTGGCTGCTATATCATTTCATGGTTATATTGGATCTGAATGCTTTTGTAAGAAATCTAGCACAGCACAGCCACATCCGTTCCAGCTAATGCAGGACTGAAATGGCTCATTAAGTCATCTGCAAGCAGTGGTGGGGCCCTAAAGCTTTGAATACTTGATACACTGCCATACAGCATTTTGCTTATGTGAAGAGAAGCAAGTACAGTCAAGCAGCTCTTCCCCATTTTCTCTCTTTCTGCTGAATGAGCTCTTTTTCCCTTTTTCCCTTCTCTTTTCTCCATTTTAAAAACCTGTTCCCTTAGAAACAGCCAGCTTAGCCCTTTCACTCCTGCTTCTTCTCTCCATGCCATACAGTGCTGCCACACTGCTCCCTGTGGTGTCTCTCCCCTCTCCCATTAAACGAGCACAGTGCAGATGTGCACAGCCCTTTGGTAGCACACCTCAGGAGGTAAGGGAGATGTTGCCTGCGGCAGACATGCTGTAGCAAGGGAGGTGGCACCTGGACCTCCATGCTGTGATCGTAGCTGGCAGCTACACAGCCAGTGTTGCCCAGCCGTGGCTGTGCCCCTGTTTGGACACCCCCAGCCTGCTCCCCTGAGTGAGTGTCAGGTTTTAAAGCCTGGTTTAGGTTCTCATCACATTCCCACAGAGCAAATGTTAAACCCAACCTAATTCCACTTCTATACTGAACTCACAGCTTCACTGGAGCATTTCATTATAAAATGAAATCACCCTGTTTGCTGGAAATGCATCATACAGGTTTTTACTGTAAGTTCCAGCAGCTTCTAGCCAATTTATTTCACAGAGCTTAGAAAAGTTGGAAAAGACTGGAGGAATGGATAGGAAAAGATTACGTAGTCCACAGAGACATGTAAACCAGGGAAAAGGTTCAGAGCACATCTGTGATTGCAGTAAACTCAAAGAAGTTCAGTTTGGGTCTGAGCTGTGCCAGTTCTGTCTGAACTCAGGTCTCCAAAAGACAGATTGCAATTTGGAATATATAAATTCACACACGTCCTGTCAGACCAGGGTTCCTACTGAGGGCAATGGCTGGCACCGGCTGGCACCAGCTCTCTACTGAGGTCCAAGAAATCCTGCTGCACACTAATCAGGTATAACTTGCTCTGAGCACAAGTTTCCTCCTGATCCTGACAAAGAGTGTTGTGAGTTTAAATTCCAATGCATGAAACACAAAGCATGGGAATTTATTGCCCTGCAAAGTTGTTTGTTTAGGTTTTTGTGGGGTTTATTGTTCGGTTGGTTTTGGGTTGTTTTTCGGGGGTTGGTTTGTTGGGGTTTTTTTAAGTGAAAAGGTCTTTACTAAAACTCTAGGTCTTCTCCACAGGGATGGTAAATATTGTTTTGATTTTGACAAGTTTCTGCTAGGCCTCAGGAAAACAGTCAGGCAAAGGCATCTGCAGCCTTGCCGTAAGGACAAGTCTTGCATTTGGTAACTGGCCTTTTGGATGCTTTTTTGTGTGCTGCAGCCTTAAGTGGGAGGCTTGTATTGACAAAGATTAGGAACTTGGAAACATTTTCATTCTCACCTCCACTTCAGCTGCTGCTTCTAAAATGCATTAAGGCTTCTGTTCTCCAGAGAAACCATGACATCTTCCTTTCTCAGTTTGTTCACACTGGGAACAAAAACTCATGGTGGGGCATGTTCTGTGGGAGCTAGTATTTAGTTGCTTTGAGGAAGGAGTGTGTGTGGAGGACATCTCTGCAGAGATCAGATGGTCAATCTCGTATCTCATTGTAGTTCTTATCCACTGTGGAAAAACATTAGGTGAATTTTAGGGGGATTTGGCTTCCTGGCATCCCATACATACTCTGCAGAAAGCACCTTGGAGGGTTTGTGGAAGAGGAAGCGACTGTTGAGATTCCTTTCTTCCTGCCAGGCTGCCATGATCTTATTGGCTTTGTCCATCAGGATGGTCATGTGGCAGATCCTGGTGAAATCACAGACCTTCTTGATAAGCCCTCCAAACACAGCTCCTCCTCTGCAGAAGTCCCCTTCTTCATCAGGGATGTGGGCTGCTGAAGAGCTCTGCCTCTCCTAAGGGGTCTGGCTTCAAGGGACACTGAAATAGGCAGGGTGTACAGCTGCTACTATATCACCCAGGGTCTCAGGCCCCCAGGCATTGTAAAACACCATGTCAATGTCCAGGCAGAAGAGGTAGTCCACCTCCTGATGGCTTGTCTCTGCAATGTGCTTTTTTATGGCCTCCATCCTGAGCATGGAGATCTCTGGCCAGCTGGGGTATTTCTTGATGGGAACAATGACAAACCTTCATCCAGGTTGCAGCCAGACGTTGGGAATTGTCTCAGGGTTGTCAGTGAAGATATAATAGTTCACCCAATAGCCTTTCATGAAATGTTTCTCTGCTGACTCCAAGAAGCAGCCCACAAACCTGGTGTACCTCTGCAGACACCACATGTGAATAGCACAACAGACACCAGGGGATGCATGTTGGCTTACGGAGGGTGTTTTAACAAATGGAAGAAGACAAGGGATGAAGAGTATTGTCCAGCTATTGCTGCAAGGATTCATGCACTATACATGCAATAGGCTGAGAAAGTTGGGGCTGTTCAGCCTGGAGAAGGCTGAGTGGAGACCTCATAGCAGCCTTCCAGTATCTGAAGGGGGCCTATAGGGATGCTGGGGAGGGACTCTTCATTAGGGACTGTAGTGATAGGACAAGGGGTAGTGGGTTAAAACTTAAACAGGGGAAGTTTAGATTGGATATAAGGAGGAAATTCTTTCCTGTTAGGGTGGTGAGGCACTGGAATGGGTTGCCCAGGGAGGTTGTGAATGCTCCATCCCTGGCAGCGTTCAAGGCCAGGTTGGACGAGGCCTTGGGTGATAAGGTTTAGTGTGAGGTTTCCCTGCCCATGGCAGGGGGGTTGGAACTTGATGATCTTAAGGTCCTTTCCAACCCTAACTATTCCAGGATTCTAATAGGTGAAGTATAGAGGAAGCCAATGAACAGGTATATTATCCCTGCTTTGACAAACCAACCACCTATCTACAGCTCTAATGACCAAAGCACATAGGGCATTAGGAATACTTCAGGAATACTGAACATGCTCCAGGTGCAATAGGTGTTGAGTCTGTTGTGTGTAGGCTTCTATGCTTATGGACACAATACATGGGCATAAGTTTATGTCACAGATTGCGACAGATTTCAGTTCTGCTGAAGACAAAAGCCAAAATAATCTTTCCACGGAGGAAGTGCACCAACCCAAGAACTGTGCCCACTGAGCAGCTCAGTTACTTTCCAATGGCAAAGGCAGGCACCCCTATGATGAGATTCAGTGGCTTGTAGGCATTGTCTAGGATCTCAGAATTGAAGGTTTCTTCCCAGATGATGCGAGCCAGCCATGGTGTGTGACTGTGAGCACATCCTGATGCCTGAAGGAAAAGAATGTTCATGAAATGTAACTGCTCCTTTTGGTTTCAAGTCCAGTAAATCGGAAAGAAACACTAAAAAAGGCAGCTAGAAGAATATAATGACCACTGAACTCACAGAATGAGAACGTACGCATATTTGTTATCAATCTGATGTAGATTGCGACATACAGATTAAAACACAAGTGAGAATATGAAATTACTATGAAAATATACCCCATTGCTGTGTTATTAAAATACAGCTTGTGGTATGACAGTTTATTTTTCCAGTATTTATATATAGCTTTATCATGTTTAGATATAATTTAGAATGCTGGATACATTTGAATGCTGGCTCTCATACAAAGTTAGAGAAAATCCTTCATCTCCTGTGTGAGTAGTGGATATACTGAATATACTATGTCCTGTTACAGCTATGCAATGCCATTTCAACTTTTTTCTCAGGGTTTCTTTCTCACCTTTTTGATTTTAAAACAAGATGTCATTTGTAGTGTGTATTTCACCCTGGCCTGCTCACATCCACCCCAGACCATGATCTGTAGCCCTCTGCTAGTGAAATTTGTCATGCACAGCACAGTGCATGACAGGGGGAGGCTGAAGCAGTCTTTCATCTGACACGCTCCTTGAAGGCAATGATACCACAGAGCCAAACTAAGGGACCTGTGGGGAGCAGTTTGACAGCTGCAGGAGCACCACACTTTCAACCCAGATCTAATACTTTCAGTCTGTGTGGGTAACATAATAACAATTTCTCTCCTTCCTATAGTAATGCATATGATTAAAAGATTAAATTATATAGGGAGAAGAATTTGGTCTGTAGGAGATGTACTAACTCAGCTTTTTGCTTTCTGTGTTAATTATCTGAGAGAGAGAAAAGAAGTGTGCAGGTTTGCTTCTCTAAGCAGGGCTTTTTTCATTTCATTTGAAAGGGCTGCACTGGCTTTCCTGATGACTCATTTCCATGGTGTGCATCCTCAGTGCATGCTAGTGAACCCCCTTCAGAAGACACTACACTGAAAGCTACAAGCTGCTCTCCTCATTTAGTCGAGAGTATACGAGTTGATTTCACACATTAATTTATTCCAATATGGAGAAGAGAAATATTCAGGCCTCATGTCCTGTTGAAATAGTGGGGGAGGGTAGGGAAAGGTATGTACCAACAGGGTACATGCTTATCATGTACCCCAACAGGGTACGGGTTCGTTAACATGCAAAAGAATGGTGGTTGTTGAAGGTGAACTGCTAGAGATAAGAGTCAGGTTACAGGAGCTGGACCAAAGGAGAGCACTAACAAACAGGAGCTGACAAAGGAGTGTTTGTTTGCCAAAGTAACTTCGTAGCTGCGGCTGCCTGAAACCTTCCATGCCTGTTTAAACTCATGGGCTTGTCTGCTTCCCAGAGAGTGCCTGCAATTTGTTCCAGAGTAAGATCCAGCAGGTTAGCTGAAACCATTGCTGAAGGTCATACAAGGCACCTGCTTGATTTTGCCCTGAAATAGACTCAAAGCTCTCCACAGCTGCTTACAGCTACAACAGCTCCAGAAGCTATTTCTTACTGTCTTCCAGCTATTATGATCTCCCATCTCAATAAGAGCTCCTCTGTAGCAGCAACTCTGTAGACAGGCTGAGTGTGTGTGCTAATGTAATTTTATAAACTCACCAAAACCAATCCTGCCAGGTCATATGTAAAGCTAACACAGTTACCACTTCAGCTGATAAACTCCATCTTTCAGAGAGTAACTGCCGCAGGCAGCTCCCCCCAGAGGTGCATGTAGGAAAACGGTAAACTGAGGTCCAACACAAGCAAAGAAACATTACACAACAATAATCATGCATATTGGGTAGCGATATTTCTCTGTAAATCAAAGAAATTAGTCACGTTTCAGCAGACATAAAAATCAGCTCCACCTAGCTTAGCTTACTTACCTTAAAAGCTCAAATTAATCCCTTTTCTGTTCACAGGGAAGCAAAGGTTCCCACAGTGTGAAACACAGGCCCTGTGGAAAAAAAACACCATAAAGCCTTTGCAATTGGCCTCCAGAGGGGCTTGTTACAAGCACATTCATTTTTACAGGCTACATTCATTAGTACCTTCAGGGAATACAGAACTACAACACTGCCGAGAAGTTCCCCATGTGTGCAAGCTCGCTTCTGCCTCCTCAGCATCCTCTGTATGTATGTAAAGTGCTGCTCTGCCGAGCAGCTTTCCAGGCTGCTGCTGAGGAGGCTGTAAGGCAGCTTCCAGTTAGAGCAAAGCACTTCCTAGCATGTGGCTGGAGCCTCGGTAAAAAAAAATAAAAAAGCTGTTTGTCAAACTCCTATTTATAGACAGTCAGGAGCACTGATGTTAGTGGGAGGAACTGGTACAGGCTGCTACTTTGGGGAGCCCTTCGCAAGGCAGGCAACAGTGCCAATGGAGCTGAAATGTCAGTGGCCATTTTCCCACTTTCATTTATTTCCTTTCCCCATAAAAAGATAGGTAGCAAAAAGTTCTTTAATTTGCTTTACGATGCCATACAGAAACCCCCCTCAGTGCTTCTTCCACACTCTCCTGTCAATGAATCTAATCAGTTTTCACCAAGAAGCATCACAAAATCCAACTTAGTAAATAATATTATATATATATATATATAAATATAATGGATTTTCATGGGTTCATGCTGAGCAGTTTGAGATTCTTGCCTAAAAATGCTGCAGATTCACAAACGTAGAAGGATTTGCAACCAGCCTTGCCCCTCTGGTTGTCATTCTGTGCTTCGGCCAGTTTTAGCTAATTGCCCAGCTCATTCTGTAATGAGAGCTGCTACTGATGCCAGGATTTTGCAGTGCCACATATCTGACCTTGTGTTTGATGCCTCCAGTGCATGTGAAAGGGAAAAGTGTGCAGAGGGGGACTCAACAGGCTCAACCATGCTTCGTGAGCTGGCTAGACATGGGGTGGGCAGGCAACCAGAGCTAATGACTGCCCTCCTCATCAGGAGACTTCCTAATTTCCAACCAGGATCTTGCTTGCAGCAGTTCAGATCTGTATCTTTTTATGACAGTGATCATGCACCTGGAGCCTCCCTTTACATATTCGAAAGATACAACTTTTCCTTCCGTCTTCTGTCCTATGAGCTCAACCACCACAACTTCTTCAGTCTTTCTTTGTATATTGTTAACTTCAAGACCCATGATTATTGCCATTTCAATTTTGTTTGGACTGTCCTCTAATCAGTCCATTCTCATGAAACCTGGTGCCAGACCAAACCAAATACTCCTGCTGACCCCTCACCAGTATTAAGTTAAGCAGGATTACCCCACAAAACTGAAATACTGTGCAGTTCATACATTCCAAAGTATGTTTTGCCTGCTTTGCAAAAACACAGTACTGGTGATGACATTCAGCCTGTGGCCAAATCTAACCCACACATTTTCTCTCCTAGCCAGACCTATTGCATATAAAACCTTGTACTTGACTTTATGGAATTCTACTCAATTTTCAGGCTATATATTTTTCTAAAACTTCAAGCCTCAGTTTGATGCTGTCTCTGTGGTGCTTGCAGTCCCTCCCAGATTTCCAATTTCATAAGCATCTCTCAGAATTTTCCCCCAAAGCATAAGTAAAAACTTAAGACAGAACCACTCTGCAGATGCTCTGCTGGGGAGTCTTGTTTTCTGCACCTGCATCCTCATGCACTTACCACCATGGCATACAGAGACTGACAGCACAGAACTTGGGTAATGGGGAAGGACAGCAGATAATGAACAGACAGAAGAAAGGAGAATAAAAGTTATCCTCAAATTCAATAGTAAAATTAACACAATTAAAAACATACATTGGCATTCTGGTTATTTTAATGTAGTTTCAGCTATTTTAATAAGCATAGTTTACTTCCAGGTATCTGTACAGAGTAAATATCTAATCCCTCAGGAAATGTAATAGACACATTTTGAAATACTGCATCATTAGGAGCACAGCTGATGCATTCCCCCCTTGCTTCATTTTCTGTGTTACAAATCTGGAAGAACACAGGAGCCAGATGCATTCAGAATGTCTCCTTGCATCTAAAGCCATCTCACTGACATTTACCATATTTGTCCTCAACTGATTTACAACTGCGGGGTTCACAACAAATGCAAACAAACACAAAAGAGATGTGGTTGCAGCTAATGA